GTTATTGATTTCTAATTTAATTCCATTTTCATCTAAGAGCAGATATTGTATTACTCCCATTCTTTTAAATTTATTAAGGTATGTGTTTTATAGACCTGAATGTGGTCTCTCTTCGTGGACCTTCCATATGAGCTCAAGAATACATATCCTGCTGTTGTTGGATGAAGTAGACTATAGATATGCATGATATCCAGTTGATTGATGGTGTTGTTGAGTTCAACTAGGTCCTTACTGATTTTCTGTTGCTAGATCTGTCTGCTAGAATGATGCTACAGTCTCCCAACTGTAGTAGTAGATTCATCTATTTCTCCTTGCAGTTGTATCAGTTTTTGTCTCAAATATTTTGATACTCTGTTAGACACATACACGTTAAAAACTGTTGTCTTCTTGGAGAACTGACTCTTTTATTGTATGTAATGCCCTCTTCATCCCTGATAACTCTCCAGGCTCTGAAATTTGCAAAATTAATATAGCTACTCCCACTTTGTTTTGTTTTTTTTTTTGTTGTTGTTGTTGTTGTTTTTTATTTTTAAATTTTTATTTCTTTATGATAGTCACAGAGAGAGAGAGAGAGAGAGAGGCAGAGACATAGGCAGAGGGAGAAGCAGGCTCCATGCACCGGGAGCCCGACGTGGGATTCGATCCCGGGTCTCCAGGATCGCGCCCTGGGCCAAAGGCAGGCACCAAACCGCTGCGCCACCCAGGGATCCCCCCACTTTCTTTTGATTAGTGTTGGTATGGTATATCTTTCTCTACCCATTTACTTTTTTTAAAAAAAAGATTTTATTTATTTATTCATGAGAGACAGAGAGAGAGAAGCAAGTAGAAGAGGGAGAAGCAGGCTCCTTGAAGGGAGCCCAATGCAGGACTCTATCTCCAGACCCAAGATTACGCCCTGAGCCAGAGGCAGACACTCAACCACTGAGCCACCCAAACATCCTTCTATGCATTTACTCTTAATTTATGTGTCTTTCTATTTAAGTAGGTTCTTGTAGACAATAAATATTTCGGTCTTGTTTTTTGATCCATTCTGATTATATCTGTCTTTAAATTGGAACATGTAGACCACTGATGTTCAAAGTGATCACTGATAAAAAAAAAAAAAATGATCACTGATATGGTAGGATTAGTATCTACCATCTTTGTTGCTGTTTTCTATTTGTGTCCTTGTTCTTTGTTCCTATTTTTTGTCTTCTATTCTTTTTCTTCCTTTTGTAGTTTTAACTGAGCTTTTACATAAGTCCATTTTGTCTCCTTTCTTAGCTGTCAGTTATACATTTTTACTTTTCAGTGTTTGCCCTAGATTTTGCAATATGCCTTTATAACTAATCCAAGTGTACTTTCATATAACACTATACTGCCTCATGGGTAGTGTACCTCATAACAAAATAATTCTAATTCCTGTCTCCTCTCCCTTGCATCATTACTTGCATCACTTATTTCATGTATATATAAGCACACGTAGGCTTTATATATGTATAAATATGTAAATTATATGTAATATAAACATTAGCATAGATAACTAATACATTGTTGCTATTACTTTGAACAAATGGTTATCTCTTAGATTAAGAATAAAAAAAAATTAAGTTTTATTTTACTTTCATTTATTCTTTCTCCAATGTACTCCCTTTTTTATGTAGATTTGAGTTTCAGACCTCTATCATTTTTCTTTCCTCTGAAGAACTCTGTGTTTTGTTTTGTTTTTTAAAGATTTTATTTATTTATTCATAGACACACAGAGAGAGAGGCAGAGACGCAGGCAGAGGGAGAAGCAGGCTCCATGCAGGGAGCCCGATGTGGGACTCGATCCCGGGTCCCCAGGATCACACCCTAGGCTGCAGGCGGCGCCAAACCGCTGCGCCACCCGGGTTGCCCTCCTCTGAAGAATATTTCTTGCAAAGCAGGTCTACTGGTAATATATGACCTCAATTTTTGTTCATCTGAGAAAGTCTGTTTTTCCTTCACTTTTGAAGGAGAGTTTCACAAGATACAGAATTCTAGGCTGGTGGCTTTTTTTCTCAACACTTGAAATACTTCAGTGCACTCTCTTCTTGCTTGTGTGGTTTCTGAGAAGTTGGATGCAATTCTTATCTTTGCTCCCCTAGAGGTAAGATCTATTTTAACTCCAGCTTCTTCTAGTACTTTTTCTTTGATTTTTCGTAGTTCTAAAATATGCCTAAGTGTAGTTTTTTGGCATTTAATATTCTTAGTGTTCACTGAGCTTCATGGATCTGCGGTTTAGTATACGACATTAATTTGAGGAAATTCTCAATCATTATTGTTTCAGATATTTTTTTGTTTTCTCTTTCTTCCTCTTCTGATATTCCCATTATATATACATTACACCTCCTGCAGTTGCCCTGTGGTTCTTGGATACTCTGTCCTGTGTTTTTACTCTTTTTTCTCTTTGCTTGTCAGTTTTGAAGATTTCTATTGAGATATCCTCAAGATGGGATGCCTGGGTGGCTCAGCATTTGAGTGTCTGCCTTTGGCTCAGAATCCTGGGATTGAGTCCTGCATCAGGCTTCCTGTGTGGGACCTGCTTCTGTCTCTGCCTCTTTCTCTGTGTGTCTCTCATGAATAAATAAATAAAATCTTAAAAAAAAAAAAAAAAAGAGAGAGAGAGAGAGAGAGAGATCCTCAAGCTCAGTGAGTAGTTTCTCAGCTGGGTCAAGTCTACTAATAAGCCCAGCAAAGGCATTCTTCATTTCTATGGATTTTTTTACTTCTAGCAGTGTTGGTTCTTAGGACTTCTATCTCTTTGCCCATCTATCTGTTCTTGCATGTTATCTACTTTATCCATTAGAGTCCTTAGCATATTAATCACGGTTGTTTTAACTCCTGGTCTGATAAGTCCAACCTCCCTGCCATGTCTGAAACTGTTTCTGATGCTTTATCTCTTCAAACTGTGTTTTTTGCCTTTAGTATGTTTTGTCCTTTTTTCTTCATAGCCAGACATGATGTAGTGGGTAAAAAAGGAACTGCTGTAAATAGGCCTTCAGTAATGGGATGGTAAGGTGTGGGAGCAGGAGAAGCATTCTCCAGTCCCATGATTAGGTCTCAGCAGTCTTTTAATGAGCCTTTACCTCTGGACTGTGAACTTCACATGTGCCTCTAAGTCCTGTGTCTCCCCCCGCCCCCACCGCCCCGTTTTAGGTGGGACAGGATGACTAGAACTGTCTGGAGTGGGATATTTTCCTCCACCCAGCTCAATTAGGCTCTGATAAAACCCTAGCAGGTTAGGTTCTGGTGATATAGTTTCTCCTGAGAGCAAACTGTAAAGAACAGAACATTATGGCATTTTCCAAAAATGGTTCCATTTCCCCTACCCCTGCAAGAAGCATGGGGCTTTCTCTCTGAAATTCATTGTGAGGACCAAGATCCTGAAGATAACATTCCCCAAATTTCCAAAAGTGTGGAGACCCCTTCTCTGACTGGGCCTCCTGTAATTTGTCAATCATAGTTTAGGTTTTCCTACTCTAGCACTTGGTCTAGGGAAGGATTCTGTCATGAATTTTTTTACCAGTGAGTTCTGATTCTCTGTACCCACTTGTCTGTCTCTCCAATTTGGGGGCAAGCAGTTAGCCCCTGTGCCCTCACTTCTGTTAAGGACACAAGAAAAGTTATTGATTTTCGAGTTTGTTCACCTATTACTTGTCGTTAGGACAGACTAGTGACTTATAGGCTCCTTACACCCTGGGTTTCTGCTATTTGCAAACAAAAATATCCCACTAGGAATAGTAATACCTAGGCCGCACTTTCCCAGTGATTAACTCTTTTAATGAATAAGTCAAAGTCTAGAGATGGGATGTTATTACTAAAGTTAAAAAAAGGTAGAAGAAACAGCCTGGGCCTCAGCTCAGAGATACACAATCCAAACCCTTTATTTTACATATATAAAAACAGGCCATATTCTCATACATTCTTGGTGAAACTTTCGTAAAAGATGATTTAACAACATTAATCAATTGCAAATGTACATAGAACCTTTGACCCAGCAATGCTACTTCTAGACATAGATCCTACTCACACAGGTGTACAAGTATGTTCACTGTGGCACTTTTCTAAGAAGAATCAGGAATAATCTAAATGTCCAACAAAAAGAAAAGATTAAATTGATTAAGGTGTACACAGCAGTAGAGTGCTTCACAGTCAACAAAAAGGATGAGGTAGATTGATATGTGCCCCATGAAGTTCTCCAAGACATGGTATTTAATTAAAAAAAAAAAAAAAGGGCAGGACTCATAAGAACATGGAGAACATGATCTCATTAATGTAAATGACAAAGTGAGGAACTAGTACACGTTTGCATGTATAGGAGTAGGAATGCAATACACAGACAGAGAAATTAGGCTATATACCCCAGCATCCAAGGAGTGATCTTTGTGTTTTGTATTGTGTCTTTCTGCATTGTGGCAATGCCCTACGAATACATGTAAGTATTACTTGGCCAGGGCACCTGGGTGGCTCAGTGGTTGAGTGTCTGCCTTTGGCTCAGGGCGTGGTCCTGGAGTCCCAGGATCAAGCTCATCAGGCTCCCCTCAAGGAGCCTGCTTCTCCCTCTGCCTATGTCTCTGCCTTTCTCTCTCTCTGTTTCTCATGAATAAATAAATAAAATCTTAAAAAAAAGTATTACTTGGCCAAAAGACCCACAAACAAACAAAAGCCAGGGGACAGGCAGGGACACAACATGGAAGATCTAGTCCAGTACTCAGACCTCCTAATTCCTACCCTGGACTCATTCCTCTACCATCTCTGAGTCTCCATAGCTGTTTCCTTCACTCATAGCAGCCACTATTTATCTTGAAGTCAGGCCACTGTAACCCTAGGAGGTACAGACAACCCTCATGCTCATTTTACAGATGAGAAGACTGAAGCTCCAGGAGAGGTTCCTGTACTGTTGGTCTAATCTAAAGAGAAAGACCTTTGTCCCCTGCTTGTGGTCCCTCATACTCAGAAGCCACTCAGGAAAGGCTGGATGACCTAAAAGAACTGACCTGATACTCCTCCTCGGTGAGGCCCTCAGCCAGGGCATGCTGGTGCAGCTGGTCAGGGTCCTGTGCACGGAAGAGGCGGCTGAGCAGGGCATAGATGTAGGGGGCCTCAGGGGAGGTCTGCAACAGCACAACCAGGCCTCCGTACCAGGCAGCCCGTGACAGGTGGTGGGCATAGAGGCGTTCTGTGGGTGACAGCAGACGGAAGGCCTCACGACAGTCCAGGCTAAACACACCGATGTCATTGGGCAGGATGTACTGGGCGTCTGCCATGGGACCTGCTGAGAACCATTACCATCATCACAGCCATCATTTATAACACACACCAACTGCCCACCTAACTCTGCACTCTCATAGTCTCATTTACTCCTCCCCCAAGCCCATTCACAGATATGCTAATTGAGGCTCAGAGGTTAGGTGACTCATGCAAGGATATTATAAAATATACCAGTGGGTCATATTTGGCCTTGGGCCCTTCAACCTTAAAGTGTGAATTTAACTATTTAGCATTACATATGGGGAAACTGAGGCCCAGAGAGGCTAGGAACTTTGCCTACTAACACAAGGGAGGGGTCAGAAGCAGAGACCTGCATCTCTAGACTCCCAGCCTGGGCCCCTCAGGCTCCTCTCCTCCTTCTCTGACTTCCTAGCCTCCTCTTCAGAATTCTCCTGTAAGTTCTTCAATTCCACCCACCATTGTGTTCACAAGGACAGAGTTCCAGGCTACCAACTTAAAGACCCAGGTCCAAACCTGATTCAGCCCTAGGCTCCTAAAAGTCAGTTGCTTCACTTTTCTGTGCTCCAATTTCCACCTCCCTAAAATGAGGGGAGGATAACGTTCTCCAACCTCATCAGGAGGGTGTGCAATCTGTCTCACTCTCATTCTTTTAACTGCCTTTTTTTTTTTTTTTTGGCCCTCCATCCTCCTACCCTCTCCCTGTGCTGGGCCACGGGAGCTACAGAGCCACATTAGTTCGGAGCTGGAAGAAAACTCATTTTACAGACAGAGAAACTGAGACATAGAGAGGCCACGCAACTTACCACGCAAGTCTCACAGTCTCGCTGGGACCCGGGCTCTCCCGACCCAGGGCATGCTCCACACCGCCCTTCCTAACGCGGACAGTGTGTCCAGCCTCCCCCACCACTCCGGATGCTCCGCCCCAAGAGCACAACCCTCGGGGTTAACTCTTTGCTGCCCCGGGGACTCCTTGGCCACGGGGCCGCGATGAATGCGGAAGGGGTACCGCATGGTAAGCAGAAAGGGAATAATCTTGCGTTCGGTCCAGACTCGCTCTGTCCCCCAGGATGACGCATTGTAATCCCGAAACCCGGGCGCAACTCCTCACCTGCAGCAGCTGCTCTCATCGCAAACTCACTTCCTGCTTCCGGCTCCCCCATTCATTGGGGGCTCCATGAACTCCGCCCCCCGTGGCCAATTGTCGGGCTTCGGGGCCGGGATGGGCGTCAGCTCCAGCCAATAGGCGCGCAGAGGCGCCCTCCGTCGGCCCGCCGCCGCCGTTCCCGGGCCCCACCGGGTCACGCGCGGGATGGCCCCGCGGCCTTGGCCTTTGTCAACGAGGGTGCTGGCGCGGCGGCCGCGAACCTGCGTGGCCGGCCTGACCGCGGCTTAGTCCCGGCAGACTGGGCTGACAAGGTCCCTCCGAGTCCGTGCGGGGCGGCATGGGTGTCACGGACGGAGCGGCAGGGACTTCCCCACAGAGCCCCAAAGTCGCTCTCTTGTGGGTCCCCGGACCTCAGTTTTGCAGGTGGGAGCCTGCACAATGGAAGTAATGTGACTCCCTCTCCCTCACTGGATTCGAGGGTCAGCGGGTGGAGACTCTTGGGAGACTGAAACCTACAAGGCGAGCTGCAGGGCTTGAGCTGAGGCGACCACACCGCACGGGGACGGAAAACGCCTCCAAGGTGCTTCACTGCACCACCACGGATTCGCCAGGGCCTGGAAGGCAGCCGCTAAACGTCTCTGAGCCTTAGTTTCCGCAGCACAAAGGGGCGAGGGGCCTGGCAGTTGGTGCTTGCCTGATGCCTGATGGAAGGGAAAGCTGCCTGTGACCTCTGGCTGCCCAGGACACAGCTGGCCCTGAGGTCCGCTTTTGCATGTCTGGATGGACTCACAAGAGGATGACCTGGGCCAGGCAGGGCATTTCCAAGTGCTGGCGCTGGGCCTGGGGTCAGTAGGGGGCATTGTGAGGGGCTCCATGTCAGTGTGGGCAGAGCCAGGCCATCTCAGGTTGAATCAGGCCCCCACTGTCTACTGAGTGGGACACTTTACCTCTCAGTCTTCGCTTCCTCAGCAAGAAAACTGGGCTAACAATTGTCTCCACTCCCAGGGATGCTTTAGCCCTGAATGAAGTGATGACTGGGCAGTCTGCTCCCTAGTGTTGTGCCCAGAGAGGTTGGGGAAAGTGAATACCTGAAATCCACACAGTCTTCTTGCCCTACCTTAACCACACCTGTGTCTAGGCCCACAGCAACATCTGCCCACCATTGGTGCCAGTTTCTCATTTATGAAAGTGCCCAAAGCCCTGCTTGACACAACAGTGCTACTGTTGGCTCCGATGATAATTATCATCACAGGGGAGCACCCTACATTGTCTATGTCTTTTGGAAAGTCACCTCTCCTCTCTGTGCCTCAATTTTTACTGTCTTTAAAATAAAATAAGTATACTCCCCTGACTTGGGTGAATTTGAGATGGACACCAGAAAAGGAGGTAGGGCTCTCCAGCTGTCAATGGGTAGCTCGGGCCAGCAAAAGATCCCAGTACTCCTGGGACCCTCAACCCAGCTGCATTCTTATGTTTACAGTTAATACACGAAGTCCTGTTCAAATGGAGGATACTTCATTCTTGCAAAAACTCAGATAGGATGTCATTTTACCCCATTGTAAGAGATGGAGAAACTGAGGCTAACAGGTTCATTGACTTCCCTAAGGCTACCCACGCTATCCTCAGGCGTCTCTGAACTGAGGTCTAGCCTTCCTGAGACCTTCCACCACACACACTGTCCTCTCCACTTGGCCCAGTGCACGCGCGCAGACACACACACACTCACACACACACACACACAATCATACAAAGTCCACTCACTGGAGTCATGAGCATCCTTAGCCTTGGTTCTTCTCCATGGAAATGCAGGAAGGGTAGGTGAGGAAGAAACATTAAATACCTACTGTGTTACAGATGCTCTTCATACATTCACAGCCACCTGGTGATAGAGGAATTGCTCTTCCATTTAATGGGTAAGGAGACTGAGGCTCCAAGAGCCAGAGAGGGGCAGAACTGGGCCAAGATCAGAGCTGTCTTACCCTCTACCACTATCTCCAAGATCTCCCTGGGATGATACACTGCTCTTTGCTTGTCTCTCCTCCCAAGGTCTACAGTTTCCCTACTGGAAATAGAATCGGAACACCCCTGCCTTGTTCCCAACAGGGTCAGAAATGAGAACAGTGGGGTAGAGCTGGATTCCTAGTGGGGTGTGTGTGTGTGTGTGTGTGTGTGTATAGGAGTTGCACATCCACCCAAGCATCCCCATCTCTGTTTCCCTAGTGCTCCAGGAGTGTGTTGCTCCTGGAGCAAGAATCTCATCACTTCCCCTTTTTACCACCTGCAGGAACCCTCTGTCCTCTCCAGAGCAACAGGTCTGGTCTCTGTGGCCCCCACCAGCTGTGTGACCTGGGGCAGGTTTCCCCCACCCCAAACTTGTACTCCCTAAGACTCTGGCAGCTGTTTTCAACTGGGGATGATGCCCAGGTCAGGCCTGTACTTAGAGCCTCTTTTTCAGATTTTTCTATCTCCAGAATCTCCATCTACCAGTCTCCCTAGCTTGCTTCCCCCCAATAATGTCTGAAAGCAACCCCAGTAGCACACTGAGCCTGCCTTGGCTCTCAGGGGGAGGTGACACTTAGCCAAGAAGAGTAAGGGTCCAGTTGACTTGGTCTCCTTGGCAACCAAGGGCCACTAGGCCCCAGCCCAATGTCCTTTCTCTTTTCTGCCCGTCCAGACCTGGCTCCTTGGCCTTGAGCATTTTCCTGCTACACATCTGCACATGCTGTTCCTGTGCCCTCAGCTGCCCTCCCCATTCCTCCCACCCCCATCCAAGAAAAGCAGTACAGTGTGATGGAGGAGGCCAGGCTGAGGCCAGGCAGGCAATCTCAGATTTGAATCCTGGCTTGGCTACTTTCTAGCTGTGTGACTTGGCACATGTGCCTTAATCTCCCCAGAACAGAAATGGGAACACCTCCATCCCTGGGTAATTATGAGGATTAAATAACAAAACCTCTTGGTTAGTGCTCTATTCATATAGTTATTAGCAGCAGCAGCACAGCACAGGGCATGGTGAGCACTTGGTAATAGTAGCCCTTCTATCCCAGCCAGCACTCTGGGACCGTCAGTCCTCTCCCTTCTCTCCACTCGTCACTGTCCACAAATGAGGTTCCAGAGCCTCCTTTCAGCATTTTCCACCTCAAGGAAGCCCCAACCTCTTGCTCTAGCCACTCATTTCCCTGCTTCCTCGCGCTGGAACCTGTGCTCAGCCTACCTCCTGCCCAAGCACCTTCCCCTTCTTGTGGGGAGTTCCCACGCCAACCTCTCTCCCTCTCCTGCCTGTTTGCAAGACCTGCTCCACAGCCCCTGATGAGTCTCTGATCCTGGTACACAGGAAACTGTTGTCATTCAGTGATTTGGTCTGTTGTCCCCTACACTGAATTCCACTGGGCAGGGAACCAGGTCTGATTGTCTCTGTGTCCCCAGAGCCCACTTAGCATGGAGTTCAGCCCATAGTGGGTATCAGCAGATGCCGGCCCCCGCCTGCTGCCCACCCATCACTCATGCAGGGGCTGGCGGCACTGCACGCATGCTGGACACGTGGGGCTTGTGAGGGCAGCTGAGCAGCAAGGTTTATAGAGAACCCAGGGCAGCAGCAGGGTGAGTATCTGGAGCTAGGTCGGCAGGCTCAGGGTACAGCCAGCCTGAGCTGGGGGTCAGGGACCCATAGCCCCTTCACTCCCCCAGGGACACAGTGTAGGCGGCATGATGTGGGACACCCCAGGAAGGGCCAGGGCATAGGGGTGGGCTTCCCTCCATCAGCCCAGGACAGAGCTGGTGCTAAGGGCCCCATCATTCTCACTGCGGTAGGGATTTCAGGGACAAGTGTCAAAAGGGAAGGAACACAGCCCATCCAATGCGTCCATCTGGTGTGGCTATGTGCCAGCAGGTAAAGTCCCACATGCAGAGCTCCCTCTAGGCTGCAGGAGGTGGGGGACCTGGGTGGGCAGGTGGGCATGGCAGCCGGGGCCTGGGGGAGCCTAGTCCAGCGGCCCCTGGAAAATGAGGCGGACACAGCCATGCTCACCAGTGAGCCAGGCCCCACAAAAAGGGCAGGCAGCATGGAAAGCGTGGGTGCCATGGGGCAGTGGTGTCTGGGCCCAGTAGCGGGCAGTCTTCTCAGAACAGACATGGCCGCAGGGTGCAAAGGCATGGCTTGGTGGCCCAGGGTCCAGACAGAGGCCGGCCTCCTGGCCAAGCCACAGGGGGACGTAGGGCCCCACAAGGCGACAAAGAGGGCACTCGCGCTCCTGGGGGCCCCGCTCTCTCCTGCAGCCCCAGCCATGGTAGCCATGGACATGGCCACACCGGACGTAGACCCAAGGCTGCTGCTTGTCAGGTGCTGTGCGGCCACGGGCCGGACTGGGGAAGGCCAGAGTGCTGAGGCCCACAGGGCACTGGGGCCGTGCCGCGTTCGCCTCCTGCCGCTGGGCCTCCAGCTGCTTCAGCGTCGGTGCCCTCAGCAGCCCTGCTGGCGTGCGCCACAGCAGTGTGGCCCCACACAGGTCAATGAGGGAGCCGTCCTGTAGCACATTGGACTCATTTTCCACCTGCCAGAGGCACAGAAAGGTCTTAACTGCTCAAGACGGCACCAAACCCCTGGCCCCTAGGCAGCTATCACCCCAGCCAAGCCACCTGTCTATCCCACCAAACCTCCCTGGAGAGAACACCCTGGACCAATGGGGCAGGCTAGAGGGGAGGGGAGAGGAGAGTAGGGGCAGAGGGGGAGGAGGATGGGGGCAGAGGAGCCAGGAGGACCGAGAAGCCACATGGGAGGCAAGCCAATGGTCCCAGGCATGCACTGTCCCTCACAGTGGGATGTGGGCCTTGGTCACTTCATCTGTCAAATCAGGAGATCTGGACCAAAATGAGGTTTTACCCAAGCTCTCATGTAAAGGCAGAAGTGGTAAACTCTTCTATCTGAAACACCGGGGACCAAACAGTGCCCAAAGCAGCTGTCCTAATGGCTGTGGTTAAAAGCAAGGACTCTAGAGCTTGCCTGCCTGGGTGTGAATTCCAGCTTCACCATTTACTAATTCTGCATCCCTAGTTGAGTAACTCAACCTCTCTGTGTCTTAATTTCCTTATCCTCAAGATGGATGTTACTTCCCATTGTCTCAAGTGGTTCTCATGAATCAATCATTGTAAGCACTTGGAACGGTACCTGGAACAGAGGAGTACTCAACATGTGAATGCTAGTGAAATTCATGGGCATAGTTTTAAAAATAATGTTTCCCTAAACCTCCTGGTAGTATTGATGCTCTGGAAAGATAAGCCATGCTCTTCCCTGAGATTTCCCATCTGCTTGCCCAATGTGCTCGTACACTAGAAGAGCTCTGCATGGCTCATTTGAGGAGTTTGCCCACATGACCTCGGGCTGGCCCCTACCTCTCTCTAGCATTCTCTTCGAGTTCCTAACACTAGTTCTCTGATCTGTGCCATGTGGAGCATTCACTGTCACCTCTGTCAGAACTACTCCAAGGGCCCTTTCCTGCTAAGTGAGGATAATAAAACTAAATCCGTGTGAACGTGAGAGACACATTATAGACTGCCAACACTTTAGGCTATAAACTGCTCACACATGGGCCAAGTGTCATCCTCACAAGAGGCTGTGATGTTTTTAAGCTGCCAGCATCCCTAAAGCCACTTGGTACCGCAGTGTGTTTATGTCTGCTCACCACACACCACTGCACCAGCCTCTGGCAGTATGTGGGCTATGTTTTGGGGAATATGGTCTGGCCCTCTCCGTGGGGCAAGTGGTGCATGACCCCCAGATGGAGCCTGTTGGGGATCCCTTGTGTGGGAGGCCTGGAGATCAGATGGGAAGGACCTGGGAAGGATGAGGGGTGGGGGTGGGGATGGAGCAGGCCACCTACCAGCTTCCCTCGTTGTTGTGCAGAGCGGCTGTCCCTCAGAGTGTACACGTTCCCACAGACTGATATCTCCCTCCAGACACCCGGGGCTGAGTCCTCAGAGAAGCCGCCTGCTGGGTGCATCACCAGGACCCCATTGGTGGTTAAGCCGTCCATCAGGCCATCAGGGGTCCGCCACTTGGCCGCCCGCTCCTGGGACCAAATGTGGAATCAGATCATATCCCCGAGTGGCCCCCAGCCTGCAACCCCTCTACCCTCATGGTCAGAGGTGGCCCAGAGAGAACTGGAATGGACACTGCATGGCCACGGGCATCACTCAGGTGATGGCACTCTCAGAGCCTCACTGTGCTCATTTTTAAGTGGCATTGCTAATGGCAGTGTAGGTCATGGTTACGATGACTGCTGGCTGGTCTATTATCCCAGGACGCTGCCCCTCCCTACCCTACCTCTCTGCTCACTCTCAGACGAAGTGCCAGTCCCTGCCTGGGGGGCTCACTCACTCCAAGGAAGATGTTGCTGGAAGCATCAAAGCCAGCAGCATAGATGCGGGCAGTATAGGGTGGCCGGCGGTCACAGAGGATGCGGCAGGCATAGCGAGAGATGGTACTCTGGGCTGAGGGGCCCTCAGCAGCCCCTCCTCCAGGGGATGTATCTGTTACCACAAAATCAATCATGTTCTCCGTGGAACGGCCGATCTGTGAGAAGGGGAGGGCAAGCACAGGGATGCTTATGTGTGCAGGTCAATCCCACAGGCTCTCTCCCTCCCAGGGTTCTCAGCAGCTGCTCTGCATGTAGGGGTCACCAAACAATGAGGAGGGGGTGGTACCATCCCAACTTCTCAGGCCCTCTGGAATCTTAGCTGGAGTCTCCAAATCTAGTCACTGGGTCTGGGGCTTCTCTATCTCTCCCACTCAATAAAAATGAGTTGGGATTTTTTGGATAGACTACTGAAAAGGTGATACCCAGTCTGGGAGTGATCAAACATTAGCAGCAAATAGCGAATTTTCTGTATTTACTAGATACTATGCTAAGTGCTTCACGTGCTATATCTCAGCGAATCTTCTCAATAATTCCATGGAGTGGGTACATTATGGGCCCCACTGTACCGATGAGGAAACTGAGGCCCAGAGAGCATAAGTGACTCTTGCCCAAAGTCACCCAGCTGGTAAGTGATGGAGCTGGGATATAACCCAAGCAGTATGACTCTCACACCACACTCTGAACCCTTAAGCTCTATGGCCTCCTAGGGCCTGGGTGTTTGGTCTTGTTTTTTTTTTTTTTTAAGATTTTATTTATTCATTTGAGATAGAGAGAGCATGAGCAAGGGGAGGGGGAGAGGAAGAGGAAGGCGCAGGCTCCTGCTGAGCAGGTAGTCCAACTCAGGGCTCCATCCCAGGACCCTGGGATTACGACCTAAGCCGGAGGCAGATGCTCAACCAATTGAGCCACCCAGGTGCCCCTGGTCTTGGATTTTAAGTTTTGATATAGCCACTGATTTGCTGTGTAACTCCAGGAAGTCAACTGCACTCATTGGACCTCCTGATTTGAAGAGTAGTCGATTGCACTGAGTGCCCCCAAAGCAACTCCCCAGGCCTTCAGTCTTCCCAGTTCACCCTAGAATTCTCAAGAAGACTGCTACATTGAGGCCTGGTGGCCCTGCGGCCAAGAGACTTGCAGAGAGGTCTGAACATACCTGGAACATATCCGTGTCGCTGTCATGTGTGTACTCAACTATGACCGAGTGGCTCCGGGACAGTGTGTACGAGATGCTGTGCTGGCCACGGTTACTCAGTGCCTGGTGGGGAGAAAGGGGAAGTCACTTCCCAGGGCATGTGGCCAGGAGAAGTGTGAGCCTCTGGGCCAGAAGCTGGAACTCAAGGCCCACTGGCCAACCCCAGTGAAGGGGCAGTTCTACCCTTGCAGAGGATGTACTGTGTGGCTGGCACCATATACGGGTTACCTTATTTGATCCCTACAGCCACCTCAAGGAGGTGGCAGAGTTATCATTCCCATTTTACAGTTGAGGGAACCGCAGCTCAGAGAGAAGAAAGTGGCTTAAAGTCACAGAGCTGGAAACAGGAGAGCTTGTATCTTAACCCAAATCCTCTGAAGCCAAATCCTCTGGCTTTTCCTTTGCCATTGCTGTGTTACTGTCACATCCCCTCCGTGGGCCTTGGCTGCCCCTACACAATACTGATCATTTCTATTCGATAGTTGGGGTCTGGTCATCAATGAACACATTTTGCAAACTGTAATGTGTAGTGCACAATAAGGAATCTCCCCTCGGCACCATTTCTCTGGCAGCCTAAGGCAATGTGTGAAGACACACTGGGCTCCTCTGCTCCAGTGGGGCTATGGGTGGGTAGGACTGGGAAGGCCGAAGACCTGGTCCAGGTCTGCTGGGACAAGCTGCTTGCCTTGGAAACGAGTGGTGTGGAGATGTGGTGCATGACATCTGGCTTCACTCCGTTGGCATGGGGTCGGCGGCTCAGCGCCAGGCGACTTCTCCGGCGGCCTTTGTCCCCACTTGCCAGACACCCATTGTAGCTGTGGATGTAGGGATTTAAAAAGAGGGGGTTGCAGAGAGAGAGAAAGAGAAAGTGAGGCCCTGAGAGATTTTGAGGAACTGCCAACTTCTGGGCAGACTCTACCTTAATAAACAAGCCCTAGAGACACCTGAAACTAGAAGACCTCTACTATTATCAAATCAGTGCCTTTGGGGAGTAGGGTGAGGGCTGGAATATCTCCAGAAGGCTTTTAATTCAATTATGCAGTGTTTCCTGGCCACCTGAGCCCTGCCTGGCTGGCTGCTGGGGGTGGCACCGGAGGCACAGCACAGGTCAGTTCTATCCTCACAGTGGCAGGAAAGGGGTGTCCTGAGCTTTTCAAGGAAGCTGGGCATCAAACACACCACACGCCCAGAGATAGGAGAAGGGAATTCTGGCCTCAGATCAGGTTTCTAAGAAAGGGAACACCTTTCCTGGACATTGAACTGGAAGGGATTCACCTTTACAGAAAACTATCATTTATGACACCACAAGTCCAACTGGAAACCAGAATGGAAGAGAAAGCAGACCCACAATGCCACCACCTCCCTAGATCCATACATGTCAAATGTCTACCTTCCTTCCAGCTCTTCTCCGGAGGGAGTGATTGTGGAAGGCAAAGATGAGGTGAGTCACAGCCTTGATCACTGCCACGTTCTGGAGGATCCCATGTTCCCGGGGCTTCACGTTATTAATTACCTAATGGAATCTGTGCAATGTCCTGCCAGACAGGTATCTTTCTTCCCATTTTACAGATGAGGAAAATTGAGGCTCAGGGAGGTAAAATGACCTGCCCGAGGTCCCAGGCTAGTAAGTGAAAAAGTCAGAGATTTGAACTTGGGTCTGTCCGACTCCGGCCTCTGTTGCAGAAGCCCTTCTAGAGGGAAGGCTTGCCCCAGTTGAAGGGCCTGAGGCTGGCAAGGTTTGGTGAGATCAAGGAGTGGTGATGTGGGTGGTGAACTGATGTAGAGGAGGATGAAGCTGGTGGAAGGACCCTGAACACCAAGCTTAGGAGTCTAGGCTTTGTTCTATGAGACGAAGGAGCCATGGAAGATTTTGGAGCAGGGAGTGCCAGGATGAAGAGCTGCCAAATACAGACAAAGACCACTTGAATCAGAATCTTCTCCATGAGCTTGTTAAAATATAGATTCCCTGGCTCCACCCATGGAGATTCTGATTCTGTAGGTTTGGGATGGGACTGTCAGTGGGTCTTTTCAATGTGCTCTTCAGGTGGCTCTATAGCCAGTGTGGGGCTTCACTGCTCTACTGAGAAAAAAAATAGCTGCCAAGAGGGCCTAGACCCTTGGTCTGCAATCTCCCTCATCAGTGGCCTCGCCCTCAGCTGGAAAGTCTGTCCTTCTTTGGGACACCAAGCAGCTATTTTTCTCATGCAAGCAGCCCTAAGAGGAGAATCACTTTTGCCCTTGTAAGTTTTTCCCACTTTTGGGGCATGGGGCAATTCTGGACATGGGCTCGGGACTCAGATGGGCCTGGCTTAAATCCCGGCTCTTCCACTTAACACATGACGTCTGTAAAAGGGTACTAATTGATCAGTACCTACCTTGCAGGTTTATTTTGAGAACTAAATGAGATAAAGCATTTAAAGATGCTTGGCACAGAGTTTGACATACATATACAGCAAGCCCTTGATAAATGTTAACGTATTATCAGGAAAAAGCACTTGGCATGTACACGTCAGCAAACATTAGGCATTATTATTTCTAATTAATTATAATGATAGCATAGCTTATCAAATATCTTCTTCTGGGCAGATGGCAGAGAGGGAGGCCAACAGGAGGTGTGGATGGGGGAGGAAGAAGAGGGATCTGTGCCTGGAGGCAGAGCTAAGTGGGTGGTTCAGGGATCCTGGTCAGGCAGAGACCAGGAAGGGATGAGGTCTACCCAGCCACCAACTCACATCGCTTCCTCTCTCCTGGCCTTGGTTTTCTCATCTGTAGCATGAGAGTCAGTTGGGGCTTGGTGAAAGTACACTAGAGCTAGAGTAAGAAAGACCTGGGTCCAAATCCCAGCCCTGCCACTTACCAGCTGTGTGCCCTTGGACCAGTCACTTCCCCTCTCTGAGCCTCGGTTTCCTCACCTCCTTCCTCACAGCATCTTTGTGAAGATTGAAATGAAATAATGTCCATGAAAGGGCTTGGCACAGGCCTGCCTCCCAGAACACTTGATCTGTGCCAGGCACTGTCTACGTGCGTTACAGGAATCACCTCATTTATTCCTCTGACAGCCCTCCAAAGTATTATTATCATCCCTACTTGTAAGATGGGAAAATGGAGGCACAGGGAAGTTAAGCAACTCACAAAGGCAGGATCTGAACCAAGCATTTTTGCTGGAGAACCAGAGTTCTTCACCCCAGACTACATATGCTAGGTGCTTTATGAAAGGCAGATGGTGCTACTTTTTATCTGATCAGTAACTTAGGTGGGCAGTTAGAGTTTTCTCAGTAATTTATAAAAAACGGGAAGACAAAATAATAGGAATTGAGGTGGGTTTGGTCAACTCTGTCTCTCCATTGGGGCGGTGAGGGGGGACAAACAGCAGAAGATCATAGGTGGGGAGAACTGGGGCCCTTGGTCTGGTTGCCCTAGGGGTGCCTGGTGCCCTGCCCCACCTGGACCAAGGTTGCTCACCCCAGGACGATGAGTTCCCCATACTTGATGGGCTCCTGATCTGGCTGTGCATCTTCACCAGGAGAAGAGAGGACACGAGAGCCCTGACTCCCTGGATGATGGAGGTCTGAGTTTCGGGGAGACCCCACTTCAGGGTTTCCTTCTAGCACCATTCTGGGCAGAGTGGGAGAGGAGAAAAAGCATTTTGCAACCTCCCGTCCCAAACACCCCCCCCTGCGCCCCCGCCCATGCCAGCTCAGGCCTGCTGCAGGGACACTTAGGCTAAGGCCAGAGTGACCTTTCACTACCTCTGTTGCTATGGCAACTGCTCCACCTCTGCCTCCTTTAAACTGTCCCAGGGTTGCTGTGATACCAGGGAAGGGAAACCGGTGGGATGGAACCCCCACATTCAGAGGGTCAGGATATTTGGTGAGGCCAGAGGGCTGGATCAACATGGGGGGGCCAGAGGCTTCTTTTTCGTCAGGACCCCAGTCTGGGATGTGCTTGAAAGAGGGACACCTCAGGAGTTAGAGGACCCTTATTTCTCATCTTAGACTCAGTTCCTGGGCTTGGTTCTTGGCCCCCAGGGCCTCTGAGTAACCCTTCTGTTGGGTTTTTGGAATCTATCTATCCATCTTAATCATTCAGCCCCTTTGCAGGTCTAGGCCTCTTTTTTTCTCAATGACTCTCTGTCCTCCTGGGCTGTCCTTTTCAGCGTCTCTCTTCCCACCTTCTTCCTCATTTCCGTCTGTCTGGCCATCTTCCTCTCCCCATCCATCTGCCTCAGTCTCCCCACAGGCCTCTGGACCCCTCCCTGGTGCGCGCCCCCTCCCTCCCTCAGGTGTCTGTCTGCAGTCCCAGGGCCGCCTTGGTCTCTGGAGGCCTGTGGGGGCGGCGCTCCCCCCTCTGGCTGGGGCTGCAGCAGAGCCCATCTCCGCAGGAAGCCTGTTTGGAAAACATCTCCGCGCAGGAGGGACTGCGCCGGGGGCAGGCACAATGACGGCCCAGCGCATACGCAGATACACACCCAGCGGCCCCTCGCCACAAACACGCGCACGCACGCACACTGCCCCGCACACCCCGAGCCCCTCGGGCAATGCCGGAACGGGCGCCGGCCCACCGGGGACCCGCGAGCGCTAGTCCCGGCGCCGCCCTCGGACCCACTCCCCCTGCCACCCCCAGACATCGCAAACACGCCCCCCGCGTCCGTCGGGGCCCGCCCGGCACAGCCCCCGCCCCCTCAGCCCCGGCGGTCTCACCTGGCCGCGCTCCCGGCCCCGCTCGGAGCCGCTCCTTCCGAGCCTCGGCCCTGCTCGACCCCGGAGCCGCTGCGGCGGGATGGGCCCGGCCCGCGGCGGCTCCGCGCTGCCTCGTCACCGGGACACCCGGGGCCGAGGGAGGGGGCGAACGCTAACCACCACACTCCGCCCCCTATCCCGATGCCCCGCCCCGCTAGGACCGCCCCCGCGGAGCCCCGCCCCATACAAGACTCCGCCCCTTGCGGCGCAGCCTAGCTCTCGTAGACAGAGCCCCGCCCCTCCTGAGAGGCCACGCCCCTATCTAGCCCCGCCTCATACTCTGGGAGGCCCCGCCCACCACTCTGTCCCTGGAACTCCCTAGCAGGTCTTCGCTGGTTCGGGGACTCCCCTGTATCCGTGAGACCCATCCCCGGGTTCAGGCTCCCCAGACTCCGCCCTCGTTTCTGGGGACTTCCGGGTTCTCCCGGAGACACGGGGGCCCCCTTCCCCACCGCAAGGCGGAGCCTTCTCACTGGGCGGGAGGCGCCTTTCCCCACCTTGGGCGGGGGACTCTCTACCTCCTGCCCGAGACTCCGCCTCCCAAGCGCGAAGCCGCGGAAATAGAGGAGGATAGAAGTGGGGGCAGGAACGAGAGAAGAAAAATACTAGAGGGATCGGAGGAAGGGGGTATCCGTTAGCAGGGAGGACGAGGAAAATTGCTGCAATTGGAACGACTTGCAGACCTTTCTTCAGTTAAACTCGGCCACTTTCTCGCTGAGCGACCTCTGGCCGGCTGTGGGCCCCGGGGTGACCGGGAACACCTCCCTCTTTCCCACTAGCACTCACACCACCCGAGAAGCCACAAAGTGGATGGAGACCTTTAGGAGCTTGCAGCTCCTTAGGCCCCTGGGCTTGCAAGAGATCTGTCATTCTGTGCCAGATGCTATGTTCTGTGCTTGGAGCAAAATGAGGCCTTTAATTTCTGGGAGGCAGTCACGATAATCACCCATTTTACAGGTGAAAAAACAGAGTTGTACAACCTAACCTGGTTGTGGTTATCTTACCAAGAGTAGATCTGAGCTGCATGACTTCAAAGATCTGACTCTTAACTTTTCTATACCTTATTAGGATGAGGAAGGGCAGGATGGGATTCAGAGGTGCAGAGCAGGAGAGACCCAGAAATGCATCAGATAAGATCCCTTCAACACATTATTTCTCAGTATGTTTGGAATCATAGCCAAGAGCTGGGGGAAGCCCAGAGGGTAGACAATTAACCCAAGTCTTTAGAGTATTTATTGAGGAAATCAAGGAAGGCTGTATAGAGGAGGTGTCTTTTGGCCCCAGTCATGAAGGAGAAATGAAAGTTTGCCCACACATTCCTGAGAGAGAGCATCCTTTCTCCTCTCCCCCCATCGTGCTGCTTGTGAAGCTCTCTGTCTCCTGGACCACCCCCCACCAGGCCCCACCATATCTACACACCCCTCTAATTCCACCACCTAAAAATAGTCTAAGATACCAACTGCTTTGCCAACTGTTTGGGGGCCCCAGCAGCCAGATGAAACAAGAAGGCAGCCAGCAGCATGTCCTTTAGGGACAAAGGCACTCATTAATCAAAGAGAATCTCCCTGAGAGGCCACCTTTGAGGAGGCTGGACTGCCGGGCTGTCAGCAGCAGATCATACAAATCCTGCACAACAGGAGAGCTCCCATCCCTGAATGCCTGCAGTGTGCCCACCTCCATACCAGGTACGCAAAGCCACGTTGGGACATGGGGACAATGGGACAGTCTCATTCCCCTTTGCATTCCCAAATTCCAGCACATTGCCTGCCAGAGCAGAGCCTCAATGAATATGTGCTCAATAACTGTTAGAATCTCCAGTTTACATTTTAGGAAACTGAAGCTGGCGATGGGGGTGGAGGAAGAGATACATGCCCCAGGTCACACAGGTGCAAGCACGTAGCTGAGGATTGAGCAGAACTCCAGTGCTACTATCTGACACCAGACTGCAAGAATAAAGGACTGAGAGAGATTCCAGGATACGACAGGAGGCAGAGATTTCTCCAGTGGTATACAGCACTGGGACCAGAGCTGCATGATGAGCATAGCCAGACCACAAGTGGCCTCCCGAAGCCTGAGGTGGGACTGATCCCGGCATTGTCTGGGTGTGGGAGAAGGAAGAGTTGAGACACCACCAATAGACACAAGTGCCCAAGTTCCAGCCTTGAATTCTGGCTCTGTCTCAAGAACTCCAGCTTCTCAATTTCTCTAGACTTTGTTCCTTATTTATAAAATGGGAATAATAATAGTATCTACCTATGGTGGAAAAAAATTTGCAGTATTGTTCTGAAATCCCTTTGTTCAGCCCCTCCCTTCTCTCTCTTCAATCTAGATCTTGACCCTATTGGGGAAAAAAAAAGAGCAAAAAAGAAAGGAAGAAAGGAACAAGATACAACCTTTATTTCTTTAATTCTTGGTTTCAAGACAAGTGGCTGGCATAAACAGTTTAGAAAAATATTTGAAGAAAAAACAACAAGAAACACTCTGGGCTAAGAGATTTGGAGAGAAGAAGGAAGGGCTAAGATGCTGAATTCTGCCTTTGAAGCCCTGTTTGAGTGGGAATGGGAGCTGGGAAAAGAGTGAATCCTCAGGTAGATTTGGGGATGGAAATCCTATTCCTTTATTTTTTGAAAGATTTTATTTATTTACTTGAGAGAGAGAGAGCGAGCATGAGCCGGGAGTGGAGGGAACAAGGAGGGGCAGAGGGAGAAGCACACTCCCCGCGAAGCAGGGAGCCCAACGCAGAACCAGGATGGTGGGATCATGAACTGATCCAAAGATGCACTTAACTGACTGAGCCACCCAGGTGCCCTAAACCCTATTCCTTTAAAAAGATCAGATTTGATTGCATCAGTTCATGGAACAACAATTTCTGTCCCAGGATATTGTTGAAAACAATAGAGGACTCAGCTAGCATTGAGTGGAGCTTAACAGCTGGGTGTGGCCAAGGAAAGAGTTAGTCAAGGAGAGCCCTACCCAAACCACTGTCATCCCATCCCTTGGGTGACTATGGGTATACGCAAGGCTACACTTCTTGAGGACCAAAACAGAGGCTTTATATTTAGACTGGAAAGTAGGGGAGGTGGGGAGATAGAGTTCACTAAAATAACCCGGCCAGTTACTAAAAAGACAAACGACAATAGCAAGCCCTGGAGGGGGTAGACAAGTACAGAGT